AGCGCCTGGGCTGGGACTCGCTCCGCGCGCACTTCCAGCCCTTGTCTCCCACGTCCCTGGTCCTCGCCATGTTCTGGCCCGGGGCAAACCCCCAGAATTAACTGCGAGAGCCTGCGAGTGACACTTTTAACCAGTGTGTGTGTGACTCCCGTGGAACCAAATAGGGTTCCTCGAGTTTTCAGTTGGAAAAGGCCCAGCACTTTACTTACATTTTCTTTCCTTTTCTGGTTGGGCCGAGTGACTGTGGGAAATACACAGAGCCAGGTAATAAGCTGAGAAACATCTTTCAGTCACAGGCTGTTTCCCAGCTGCAACTGTGCTGACCGGGGCCAGGTCCGCTGCCTCGTGCAGGCTGTTGGGCTTGACTGACGCCTTAGACCACTTCATCTTCATTAAAACCTGGCTCCGGGGTGCTGGCGCTATCTTGTGTGCGCCTCTGTTTTGTCCACATCTATCAAATAAAGATGAAGTCTTTATCCAGAAAGCATAACCTCAGCGACTGGAAGTTCTAACTAGTTGTATAAATATTAGTTTCATGCTATTTATGTCCATTTCTAAGTAAAAGCAATTTCTACCAGAAATTGATGTGCATAGACTTTATTACCTTTAATTTCCATACTTAAAAGTAATTTTTAAAAATGCAAACATAATATTTGTTTCTGCTATTCTAGTACAAAATGGTTCTTTGCATCAGAAGGATACAGTTCATGACAATGACTTTGAGCCCTACCTTTCTGGACAGTCAAATCAGGTGAGTTTATCTTTTTTAGCATGTATTTCTACTTTAGTTTTGACTGCGTTATGTGATGTGCCTTTGCTGCTATATTGTTGGCTGTATTATTTTAAACGACAAAGAAGCAGACTGTGGCGTATGGAAGTAATAGGAAGACTGCTGATGAGGACGAGCTGGGGTTGAAAGTGCAGTGACGCTGGATTTCTCTAAGGACGTGCAGTCCCGCCGGGGCTGGCATGAGCTGACTTCTAGTTGGCCTCGGCCTTGGTCAGCAACGTGCTGCCTTGGACCAGTTGGAGGCGTGAGAAGTTCTCTGATGTTCTCAGGTGATGGGCAGTGTGGTCCAGGAGAGCAGCTAGGATCCCCGCTCTGGGGCCCAACTCCTTCCTTGGGTTAGAATCTCAGCCCCACCACTGACTGCTGCTCCCTCAAATGGCTTGCCTCCTGCGCCTGTTTCCTTTTCTATAAGCAGACAGTGGCGAGTGCCTCACAGAAGTGACGGGGGTGACATGAGCTGGAGCAGGGAGCTCGGAGACGGGGCCGATACAGGGCCCAGTGAGTTGTAGCCACCTGGTGTGCTTAGGGTTTTCAGGTTTCTTGGCCTTGGCACTGTGGACATTTAGGACTGAAATTTGTGTTGTGTGTTGTAGGGTGTTTAGCAGCCTGCCTGGCATTCATCCATGAGATGCCATTAGTAACTGCCTCAACCGCCACCACCAGTGTGACAGCCAAGTGTCTCCTGGGGGTAAATTGCCCTGGTTAAAGCCACTTGGGATAGTTGGAGTTAAGGTTTAATATATAAATATAGTATCTCCCACTTTTAAAACACACTGTGCTCGTTTGCTTTAGAATAAAAGCACGCTTTGCCTCTTCCCTGTGGTGAACTAGAGCCAGCCTGCCCTTCTCTAAGGTGTCTCAGGACTTCTCCTCCCCTCCCCCCTCCTCCTACTGCGCTACAGGTGGGCAGCTGGGCCCGAGAATCTGCCCTGCCTCGGCGGTTCCTCCAGTGGTGACAGCAAGAAGTTAATGGGCTTATTTTTCTGATTGTCTTATTTTTTCTTAGGTGATTTAAATACTATGCAAATATTGTGTGGTAATTTTAACCAAAAGGAGGGGTGCTTCACTACACTTGAAATTTATTCTAGGAAGCGGAGCTTTCGTGTTACTTCAGGATTTGTTAAAATGGACTAGGTTTCTGGCGTCAGTGGAGTGGTCACAGCTCTGTGTCGCTCTGGGGAAGCCGTGTGGAAAGACCCTCGTAGTTGAAGCTCCGTGTGAACAGCCTGAAAACGGCCCCTTTGTCCTGATTGTTAAGAGACGCACTTTTCAGCCTTTGCTTAACAGTAAATCCAGGCTCTGGTTTTCACAGAAACACCAGCTGTTTGGATGGTAGGGAGCGGGGAGAAGGGAGAGGAGGGCTCTTGGTCTTGCAGACGGAGAAACCAAAGAGCAGAGGCAGTCAGTCAAGCTCGGCAGTGCAGAGCCAGGCCTCTCTCCTCTGTCCCTGTGTCTGTGGTCACTATCTTTCAGGGCCATGGGGCCCAGCTGCCCTGCAGTCAGGACTAAGCAACCTGGCCATGTGGACCCTGCTGGCAGACAGACTCCTGTTACCCTGTTAGGAAAGTGCTCTTTGTGTCTTGGTTCCCAATTCTCACTGAGCAAGTGCTGGGTGTCCAGCCGCCAGGTGCTAGTGAGGGAGAGACAGAGATTGGAGTGGCTGAGCAGTGAGCTCAGTCCCGGTGGTGGCACCCGTGAGCTGAGGTGGTGTGGACGTGTGACTAGCTGCGCAGGCGCAGTTCTAGGAGGCCTTTCCCTTGTGCACATGCACACCTCGCCCTGTGGTGCTTTTCTTTTAACCCAGATGTGTGCTGTCGCCGTCAGAGGCTACTTTTATCTTGTACGGCCTTGACACTGGGTGACGTGGAGGACATTGCAAGGCCTGCCTGTGGTCGAGAGCCTTGGCAGTGGGATCATTGCCCTGGGTGGGGCCTGTAGCAGAGGCTGGCCATCCTGAGCACAGCTGGCAGGATCCAGAGGAATTAACCCTCATTGTCACGGTGCTCAAACCTCCTCCTCCAGGCAGGAAGCAAATGCAGAAATTCTGTGCCTGCCAAGCTGCCATCTCCATATGAGCTCGGAGGCTGAAGTCACAGCTCTGAGCTCAAGGAAGGGGCAGAGCTGGTTTCCTGTGAGTCCAGTCACTTTGTCACTGTTTTCATAATTGCCCTTGATGCTTTTCTTTTTACATAATTTATTCAAGTTTCTTTTGTTTCCTTTTAAAGTAAATGCTTCTCGGCATAGTGTTCTGTTCCCCGGGCTTCTGAAGGGTCCTTGTTTTCTCTCTAGTTTCTTCTCTTGGTCACTGATGGCTGAGTCACGTTATTGTTCGTGAAACGTGTAAAGCATTTGAGTAATTTCAGAATTCCTTCCTTCTCAGAAAAAAGGATATAGGAAGCAGATATTTCAACTTTAAAATAAATTTACCTGGTCATTCAGAATGAGAGGTGTGTTTTTTTTAATGTGGTTAAATTTTTGTAAATATGAAAAACTTTAAAAAATATATTTTTATTGATTTCAGAGAGGAAGGGAGAGGGAGAGAGAGAGAGAAGCATCCATGATGAGAGAATCATTGATCAACTGCCTCCTGCACACCCCTCACTGGGGATCGAACTGGCAACCCAGGCAGGGCATGAGTCCTGTCTGAGAATCGAACCGTGACCTCCTGGTTCATAGGTATATGCTCAACCACTGAGCCACACAGGCCGGGCTGAAAAACTTTTAATTCCAGAATAGATTTAACGCTTTGTTGTGTTTTACTGTTTGTTTTCCCAAAGAAAATGATCCGGGGATAGTCACTGACTATTTGAATTTGTTTCTTTGGCGTGCCCATTTGTTTATAGTTTTGACTTAGTCACCAGATGCCCTGCTGAGTTCAGCCCCTGGGGCTCCTTCTCTAAGTCAGAAGGCTGGTTTTGCCTTGACCACTGTCAGTGGGTGTGGCCTGAGTGGCAGTCCCTCCTGGGAAAGTGCCAGGTGTGGTGGTTTTACCTTCTAGAGCAGTGATGGCGAACCTATGACACGCGTGTCACAGGTGACACGCGAACTCATTTTTTTGGTTGATTTTTCTTTGTTAAATGGCACTTAAATATATAAAATAAATATCAAAAATATAAGTCTTTGTTTTACTATGGTTGCAAAGATCAAAAAATTTCTATATGTAACACGGCACCAGAGTTAAGTTAGGGTTTTTCAAAATGCTGACACGCCGAGCTCAAAAGGTTCGCCATCACTGTTCCAGAAGAAGACGCCTGCTCACAGGTGTCATGCACTAAGAATTTGTTCTCCTTTGGTTTATGCACCATGTCCCTGGTGAATGGACTCCAGGTCACCACCTCAGGTGTACAGTTGACCAAGGGACGGCTTGTTGGCTGTACAGAGGCTAAGCTGAGGCGGGTTTGGGCTGGAGCACATCTTGTCACATCCTGTGTGGGGAGCTCATGCCCAGGGCACAGGGAGGATGTCAGCTATGAGCCCTCCATGTCTGCGTTTTCATTGGTGGGTTGCAGTCCACTAGTGTCAGTTCTCTAAGTTTAGGAACTACCTCCCTCACAGGGCAAGGCTGGAAGCTGTGGTGTGGATGGCAGCCTAACCTGCAGCCCATTCAAATTTCACATGGGGTTGACATCTCCAGGTTTCTTTCTGCTCAGGATGACTTATTCCAAATAGCTTGTTGAGTGAACCTGCTGTGTCCTGTTGGTGTGGCCGGTGCTGTGCAGCCTCATTCCCACCGTCGGCGTTCTCTGTGTCTCCTCCAGCCCTGAGAATAGTCGGACTCATTATCCCCTGTTGTTTCCACAGAGTAACAGTTACCCCTCCATGGCCGACCCCTACCTGTCCAGCTATTACCCGCCGTCCATTGGATTCCCTTACTCCCTTAATGAGGCACCGTGGTCAACTGGAGGGGACCCTCCCATCCCGTACCTCACCACCTACGGACAGCTCAGCAATGGCGATCATCACTTCATGCATGACGCCGTGTTTGGACAGCCTGGGGGCCTGGGGAACAACATCTATCAGCACAGGTTTAATTTTTTCCCTGAAAACCCTGCCTTCTCAGCCTGGGGGACAAGTGGGTCTCAGGGACAGCAGGCCCAGAGTTCTGCTTATGGGAGCAGCTACACCTACCCACCGAGCTCCCTGGGTGGCACGATTGTGGACGGGCAGACGGGCTTTCACAGCGACACCCTCAACAAGGCCCCCGGGATGAACAGCCTGGAGCAGGGCATGGTGGGCCTGAAGATCGGAGATGTCACCACCTCTGCAGTCAAGACAGTGGGCTCAGTCGTCAGCAGTGTGGCAATGACTGGTGTGCTTTCTGGCAATGGTGGGACAAATGTAAACATGCCGGTTTCGAAGCCGACTTCATGGGCTGCCATCGCCAGCAAGCCAGCAAAGCCGCAGCCGAAAATGAAAGCCAAGGGCGGACCTGTCATCGGGGCCGCACTGCCCCCTCCGCCTATAAAGCATAACATGGACATTGGCACCTGGGATAACAAGGGGCCCGTGCCCAAGGCCCTGGCCCCACAGCAGGTGCCGGCTCCCCAATCTGCCCCCCAGCCTCAACCGGTTGTGCAGCCTCTGTCAGTTCAGCCCCCCCCTTTGGCCCAACCACAGTATCAGAGTTCTCAGCCGTTGCCCCAAACCCGCTGGGTCGCCCCCCGCAACAGGAATGCAGCATTTGGGCAGAGCTCGGGGACTGGGGGTAACAGTCACTCCCCCGGAAGCACCCAGTCTGGTTCTGCCCTGAGCGCAGAATCCCATCCAGTCCTTGAGAAACTGAAGGCTGCCCACAGCTACAACCCTAAGGAGTTTGACTGGAACCTGCGGAGTGGCCGCGTGTTCATAATAAAGAGCTACTCGGAGGATGACGTGCACCGCTCCATCAAGTACTCCATCTGGTGCAGCACCGAGCATGGTAACAAGCGCCTGGATGGCGCCTTCCGCTCCGTCGGCAGCAAGGGACCTGTCTACCTGCTCTTCAGCGTCAACGGCAGCGGCCACTTCTGTGGGGTGGCGGAGATGAAGTCGCCCGTGGACTACGGCACAAGTGCTGGGGTCTGGTCTCAGGACAAGTGGAAGGGCAAGTTTGACGTGAAGTGGATTTTTGTCAAGGACGTGCCCAACAACCAGCTCCGGCACATCCGACTGGAGAACAATGACAACAAGCCAGTCACAAACTCCCGCGACACCCAGGAGGTGCCCTTAGAAAAAGCAAAGCAAGTGCTGAAAATCATCGCCTCCTACAAGCACACCACTTCCATCTTTGATGACTTTTCTCACTATGAGAAGCGACAGGAGGAAGAGGAGGTGGTGCGCAAGGTGAGTTGGGTGAGTTGGGGTCCAGGGCCCTTACCTCATCAGTGTAAAGCCTGGTGATGTTAGAGTGGACAACGGCCAGATATAACTTGATCCTTTTCCAGTTTTTAAGAAACAGTGATTGGGACCACAGTGCACAGTTCTGCTGGGAAGGACTTGAGGGTGACTCACTTTCCTCTCTGAGTCATGGTCTTTCTAGTCTTTGTTGAGTCAGGGACGCTCTGTTCTTGGGCATTGGGGCCAAAGCGAGGCTGCTGGGCTGCGAGGCCCCACTCACTGAGGGAAGGACACTGATCTGCAGGTTGTTGTTTATTTTTTTCTCAAAAACCCAGTATCTTGCAGTTTTGGAAAGTTGACCCAGCTCTCTGTGGATGAGAGAATGGCGGGGGAGGGGACTGGGTTCAGACATGTCAGAACAGCCCAAACCAGCAGGCCTGGAGATGGGTCTCTGAGGGTCCAGCTTCCCATTATGCGGAGACACCTGGAGCCCGCTGCAGTGGAGCCTGCTCTGGAGAGAACACGCAGGTGCCCACAGGCTGGCCCCAAAGTGGGAGCACGAGGGCAACAGAACATTCTGAGGCAACTTAGTCCTGAGATCCTCTCCTGTGTCTTTGTTTTTAAAATGTCCTTTCTGTCATGAAATGTCAGTTGGTAATCGATGCATTTTCAATCTTTTTTGGTTGTCCATGTTAAAGCATCACCCCCCTATGAGCTTCAAATGTCCCAAAGCATTTAGCAGAAAGGCGGCAAACTGGGCCTATCGTTGGTGGTGGTGCAAGTTTATACTTAAAGGTGTCAGCTCGGTGAGCACACTTGGAAAATAAGTTGGTCTCTCATTGTCTCTTGTGCAGAAAATAGAAAGGCTTGTCATTTATTTCCAGTTACTGAAATGCTGTATTTTAGCTCTTTTAGGTATAGCATAAAATACCTAAATAAGTAAAATTGCTGAATTCACAGCGACAGAACAGAGCTCATTGGTTATGCAATTTGAGGGCCTTAGGTGGCTTGCAGCTGGTTCTTGCTGTGTGTGCAGTTCGTCTTAAATACTGTGATGATTTCCCTAAACATCATGAGTTTCTAAAGGTGGTGAGCGGAGGAATAGATTTCTGCCCCTCACCTGTGTGGTGTTTAGAACGTTCTAGTGCCTTAAAACTTGCAATGTAGCAGCTAAACCCTCAGATGTCTGTCAGTGAGTTGGGTGTTGGGAAGTGGAAGCTTGCAGTCAGACCTGGGCACTCCGCTTTGAGCCCTTCCCCCAGCCAGCCCACCAGGCCTGTGAAATTCCACTGGGACAGAAATGTGGCTTCTGTTGCTGCCCTGGGCATCCCCGGAATGCTCCGCAGATGCCTCCCAGACCTGGCGCTTACCAGCTCACGTGCGTCAGCGCCACTTTTAACTTACACAATGGAGGGACAGGCGGGGGGCTGACTGGTTAACATTCGTGCTCACTGTGCCTTAGACTGGGTGGTTCTTGCCTGCTCCCCAGCACCTCCCGCAGGGCACTCTGGGTTCCCTGGTCGTCAGGGGTCGGACGCTGGGCTCTGAAGAACAGACGGACTGAGAGGCGTTTGGGTTCTTCAGACCCAGGCTTGTGCTTAGGCTGCCTGGCTCTCAGGACTCCTAGGAACCGAGGTGTCTTTTGCCAGTAAGTTGCAGGTGATGTTTGGCAGGACTGCTGTGCCGTCCCATCTAAGCTAAAATTTGGAGACTCACTGATTCCTTAAGGAGCAGTAACTCACGAGCTGCATCAAACCTGGTCCTGTAGGTGAGTGTCAGTCCCCGGGAGAGCCTGCCCTTCCGTTTTGCTGCTAAAGATCTCCTGTGAGGACAGCTTCTAGGGCCCGGCTCCTCCCATCACAGCCAGCCAGCCACAGAAGCCCAAGGGCTTTCAGAGCACCAGGCGAGCCGGGCGTGGTTTATGATGGTGGTCCTTGTTAAGAGAACCAGGGACGCTCAGGTTCCGAGTCGGCAGGAGGAGGTGCTGGTGCTAGAGCAGTGCATCTTTCAGGGCCAGTTGCTTGTTAGAAAGTAGCGCAGGGCCTCTGACAAGCTCCCTGCCCTGGGTGATGAGGTGGATGTGGGGAGAGAATTGGGGTGTGTTGTTAACCTGAAGACACATTCAATTCATTTTTAGCAAAAGGGGTTCATCTTGTTTCGTAACCCTTTCAGTGTCTAGTAACCCCGTCTGTTGGGGACTCTGTCACGACCAGCTCCACATATCAAGTGTCCTTCAGGAGCTTCGTCCTCACTACCGGACGGGGCAGGATGAAGTGGGCAAGCAGGGCGGCACCGGGGTGCGGGGGCAGGTGCTCCTCTTGGGTACATCCCCACGTCTCGAGCTAAGCATAGTCACAGCCTTGTGAGGACCCCTGCTACCGGGACCCAGCGAGCGGGGAGGCTCCCCTGGGAGTCACAGCTTGTCACACCCCCTGGGACACACCAACCAGAGGGGCTTTGCCTGGAACAGGTGGATGCCAGGCGAAGTGGTTGGCAGGCCTGGTCTGCACAGCTGGAACCCTGAAGCCTGGAGCTGCTGGTGGAGGGGAGTATCCAGTGCTGGTCTGGTGTGGCCGGTCCCAGTGGAGCTCGGGTCCAGATCTGTGGCTGCAGCCCCCAGGGCAGCCTGGGACTCGATTTGAGGGAGTTGGTGCACATGTTCACCCCAGGTGTTAAACTTCTTCCCTCTTTTCTTTTTTACAGGAACGGCAGAATCGGAACAAACAATAAGGATGAGCCAGTTTCTGTTATGATCTAATGTTTGATTGAAAAGCCAAGTTTCAGAACGTGTGCTTGGTGCTGTGCCTGGGTCAGCCCAGCCGTCTTCCTGTGCAGGCCTCGTGCTGCCTCTCTGCGTTCTCTGTCGTTTGTTTTTGCCCAGGTGGCTCTTCACTCATGTGTATTTTTTCTGTGTATTATAGTATTGTAGAACTCACTAATAAAGTTTTCGTCAGCTTATCAATCAGATTGACCTAATGCGAAATATAAATATCTTTAAAAAAAACAACCTAATGCACCCCCAAAGAATTTTTTTTTTTTTTTGGCAGAAATTATGTGCTTGTTCTTATATTCAAAGTCATCTAACATCTTTCTTTGAGATTATTTCTCACCCCTGTTGCCTCGTCTTGAATGTATCGAACCATGAGTTGTTTTGTCATGTAGCGTATGTGTTAAATACTCTCTTCAAAGTGCAAGTGAGCAATCACCTGTTTGGGCTGGTTTGCCATTTTATGATCAGTTACCTGTCTAAGAGGCTACTCTGCCATCTGTTTTTTACTAGAGAAAGATAAATTTTAGTTTTCCAGATTTGGTTATGGCTGTGTTTCCTTGGGCCGCCCACCCTCTCCAACCCCGCACCGGAATAGCACTGTCCAGCGGGGTGACAGCAGGACCCAGCGTGCGGAGGTTAGGGTCCAGGGTTCAGGCACCCTCAGTGTGTGCAACTCATTGTAACCCTTTATCTTCTCTTGAGAATCCTGATGCCATCTTACGTTTTTATACCAGTTATGCTGAGCTTGTATTGCTCTGCTCTGGTGGCAGACAGTGTCATGGATGGTGCTGCCCACTGTAAATCTCACCGCGTGGCTACTTTTCTTTTTCCCGTCAATTGGTTTTTAAAAAGAAAACAAAAAAACTTTAGACACTGAGTGTTCGGTCATGTTTTGTGGAGTGAGGGCTGTTGCCCTCACTGTCACCTGGAGTTGAAGCATGGAAATGGTGCTCGTGCCCGCCACGCTCGCTCGCACACGCATCTACACGTGCCCCCTAGAGGACTTGCCGTGTAGAGAGCAGATCTAAAAACTATTTACTCTGAATGGCCCTCTGAGTTCAAGTGTAGGTAGGCTGTATTATTTAGACTTGTGTTTAGAATGTGTCCCTTTCTCTGAACTGTTACCGCTTGGATGGAGTCATGGACAACATGGGACACTGTTACCTTGAGAAAAGTACAAGCCTTAATAAACAATCCTATTAGCACGTCTGGTGTCCTCTCATTCTTCACCCTGCTTGACGGGCTTTTAAAGGGTGTCCCAAAATTCACACAAGAAGTAATTTTGATAGAAAACACAGGTTTATAATTAAAAATTGTAAATTTTTTATTAATTCATAAAGTAT